ATTCTGATCGTTCTGCCTCAGCCTCCTGAGTAGTTAGGGCTACAAGCGTAAGCCCTATCATGCCTGGCTAATTTTTAACTTTTTTGTAAAAATGGGATCTTTACAAAAAAGATAAACTTTATATCAGTATATAGTATAGACTGGTCTCAAATTCCTGGCCTGCAGCAATCTTCCTGCTTCAGCCTCCCAAAGTGCTGGGATTATAAGCATAAAACACCACCCTGGGCCAAAAAGTCCTACTTAAAGTTATAAAACACGCTTTAAATTTAGAAATCAAAATAATTCAGTTCAATAAATTAATCAACCCTTTCATCTTCATTCAAAAATAATACTCCTCCCTGTTATCTGAATTAAAGCTGGCTACAGGTAGTCTTCAGAACATCTATAGAGAGTCTTCTTTGGCTTCTCAACTCTTTCACACACTCATATCTTACTAGTTATTATTTTAACACTGTCAAGGTCAAAGCTAAAAGGAAAAGGAAACCAATATTAAAAAAAAAAAAATTTTTTTTTTTTTGAGATGGAATTTCACTCTTGTTTCCCAGGCTGGAGTGCAATGGTGCCATCTTGGCTCATTGCAAACTCTGCCTCCCAGGTTCAAGCAATTCTCATGCCTCAGCCTCCCAAGTAGCTGGGACTACAGGTACATGCCACTACACCTGACTAATTTTGTATTTTTAGTAGAGATGGAGTTTCATCATGTTGGCCAGGCTGGTCTCAAACTCCTGACCTCAAGTGATCTATTCGTCTTGGTCTCCCAAAATGCTGGATTATAGGTGTGAGCCACCATGCTTGGCCTAGTAAAATTCTTATTTATTCTACATTGTCATAAGATGTTTTCTTATATGCTAGGCTTAGTGGTTTGGGGGGTTTCTCTCGGACTCCTTTTGGGAGTTCATCAAAGTCTCCCAACAAGCATTACTGGTCTCTCACCAGAGGTTCCTTCCATATCCCACAGGTTTTCCCTAGTTCTCTTCTGTTGGGGCTTTACTGTGCCTCCAGACATCCCTACTGGACATCATCTAAGAGGAACTTCTTACTGGCTTTCTCATATGTGCACAGTGTACTTCTGGTCCGCAGGACACACTCAGGCAGTCTTTCATGAGCAGATTTGTGAGAGTAGTATGGACCCTATATATAAAACAGCAATTCTTTTTACTCTACCACCACAGAAACTCTCCCTTTTCTGATCTTCAGGTTTTTCAGAGAGAGTCAGTTATCAGTGCACTGTCCTCCTCAGATCTCTCTGAAAGGAGCCATTATATCTCTCCCCAACCACCTGATGAGACAGTGAATAAAATCTTAATAAATCTTTCTCTAAAGTAGTCCTCTTCACAAATCTTGTGATGAGAACCCCATTTAACAGCACCTCCTTGTGTCATAAGATGCTCTGTCCATACTACCTCTTTATCATAATTTTCTGATATCAGAGAGAGAAAAAGAAAAGAAGTTTCTCAGCAAACAAGGCTCTGACAACAAAAGGTGACAGTTCTTGCAAAGACACCATTTGCCTTTTGCTTAAAATACTAAGCTAGCTCAACATTATGGTGTGTAAAAAGACATTTGCAATTTTAAAATGCCAAGAAGACTGTTCTATATGTGTTTCTCTATTTCCTCTTTGGGCATGCAAACTAGTTGGAAAAAAGATAGTCTTAAATTTCACTTTTTAGGCTATTATCTTTATGTCTATGTATTAGTCCGTTCTCACACTGCTATAAATATCTGAGACTGGGTAATTTATAAACAAAAGAGGTTTAATTATGTCACGGTTCTGCAGGCTCTACAGGAAGCATGGTGCTAGGGAGGCCTCAGGAAAGTTACAATCATGGCAGAAGGCAAAAGGGGAGCAGTAATTCACATGGCTGAAGAAGGAGCAAAGGGGAAGTGACACACACTTCTAAACAACCAGATCTCATGAGAACTCAGTATCCAAAGACAGCACCAGAAAGGATGGTATTAAGCCATGAGAAACTGTCCCTGTGATCCAATCACCTTCCACCATGCCCCACCTCCAGCAATGGGGATTCCAACTCAACATGAGATTTAGGCAGGAACACACATCCAAACCGTAACAGTCTATAATAACTTTTTAATTATTTAGTGAATTGTGTATTCTCATTATCACCTGATCTGTCTTCCTTGACAGTGTGACAACTCACTTTAAAATTTGGCATCTATGATTTTTCTGCCTCAGCCGTAGCTAGGGAGGAAAAATTCAGTTTTAACATTGTATTACAGCAATCAGTGAAGTTGTTCTGTTGGATTCATTAATACAAAAAGTTTCTCCTACCACCTCACATCTCTTTCTAGGATTTTTGTGTAGGAACTATGGCAACCTTATATTTCGATTTTATATTCTCCAAAATATCGGGGTATAATTTTTGCTTCCAAACCATTAGAAAGGCAAATTTTGAATCCTTGCATTTCACAAGGTAAATAGTAAAGAGATTGTTTTAACTTTATGTTTTTAATGTAAACTAAGGCCAAAAAAAGAATACTATGGCAGATCTGAATTCTCTCTCCTCTTAGTCTGAAACTCTAGCTGTCTATTCTATTTAGACCAGAGAAAATGTACAAGGCTTTGTGTCCAGATTCCTACAAGCCATCCAGGAGGTCACAAGTTCATCCTACTTTCCATTTCTGGTTTCAGGCCCTGAAGCGTATAGAAAAAAATCCTGCTTTTCCTGGGGTTTTAAATGGTGGCAGAAGCAAGGCTCATGGTAATAAGACCTAGATCAAAAAGTTATTTACTTTATGCTTTAGGTGGTAAAAACACAATTAGCATCTATCAAATGCATTTCAAACTCAAACAGTACTTAAACAACAGTTAAATAAAAGTAGACTCAGTAAGATCAAGGAGTCATTATCTTTGCTAGTTAAAGAGGTATGTATCAGTCACAAAATCAGCAGGAAATAAAATTCATTCAGAATAACTTAAAGTGAGAGATGCCAGTGAAAAACTAATTATAGAATAATGGACATGGCTCAGGAAACAAACAAGGTTTGTTAGTCCATTCTCACACTGCTATAAATAAATATCTGAGACTGGGTAACTTACAAAGAAAAGAGGTTTAACGGGCTCACATTTTTGCAGGCTATGCAGGAGGCATAGCAACTTCTGCTTCTGGGAGGCCTCAGGAAGCTTTCAATCATGGCGAAAGGCAAAGTGGGAACAAGGCACTTCACATGGTTGGAGCAAGGGGAAGATGTAATCCATTGGAAATTACATTTCAACATGAGATCTGGATGGGGACAGAGATCCAAACCATATCACAAGGGATGCTGAGATACCTGGAGACTGGTGATAGTGAGAAACTATTACTATTCGAGGGGCCAAAGTGGGAGGAAGAAACATTGTCATAGCAGAAGGTCTCCTCCAACTCTACATTCTCCTTCTGGTACCTTTCGTTTTGTGAGCCCAACCCCAAGTCAGCTCATAAGAGAACCTGCCGATACAGTCCATTTCAGTCAACAGCCTAAAGCATGTAGAAAAGCACAAAATAATGGACAACGGAAGTAGAGATTAAGAGGACGGTAAAATTAATGAGCACAATTTTCCAGTCAAAATATATCACCTAAAAATAGATATGTCATAGTCTCTGTCTTTGGGGAAAAAATCCATTTGTGAACAGACATGAGAGCAGTTGGAAAGATGAGGGATAAGAAAAAAGAGTCCCTAAATAGCCAGTAAGCTCCAAAATAGACCTTGACTCAGACACAACCTGAAATTCTATTGCTGGCCATTGCACAGGAGACCTGAAGTGGAGGAGGGAGGGGCACGTCCTAGGAGAAGTACATATTTGGTAGAAAGGGGAGAAAACATCCCCAAGAAATACCCCAAAATTGTCAATTAGCATCCTTTCAGAAGATTGTATGTAATGATATTCAGTGAACTGTGAAAGCATGTGGCTGGCTGTAGTTATTAGTTATTGCTGTTATTAACAGCAGTCCAGGATGTTGTAGCTAATAAAACCCCTATCATGACCACATTGAGCCTCTGTGCAAGTATCTTACTTTGTTGTGGTGGATATTGGCTAACTCAGGTCCAAATCCACCATTCTATAGACTCTGCTTTTGATAATAAGCCTGCAACTCATGAATCAGAATCACCATTTGGTTCCCTGCTATGTTCCATTAACTGGGGGAGGCTAGGACACTGGAAGCTGCTGTAGGAACAAGTATCTCTATCATGTTTACTTATTGTACCTGTCAGTGCCATCATAGCAATAGTTCTTTGCCTATCTACATTGACTCCAGTTTCTAGTTTTATTTATTCTCCCACACCTCCAGCAATAATCTCATCATGCCCTCAGAAGAAATAGAACCAACCATCAGCGGGCTGTGTTCAGGGATCTGAGTCCCAACTCCATGAGAAGCCTTTCTCTGGTGTTGCTGAGGTATGAGCTGTAGCTGGGAAGTCCTCCTTCCTCCAAGGTTGGACCTTGGCCTCATGCTCTCCATCCTTTGAGGTGCTAAGTGCCAGAACCAGAAGAGCAGCACCCTATTATTATAGGTCAGAATATAAGCTCTTGGGGGCACTCTCCACCAAAATTATAGTTTATAATAAACCCAAACTTTTCTCTTTGTTCCCAAAGCCATACGAGTAGAGGAAACTTCCGGTAAGCATTATCCCTGCGTTCCCTTTTTTCCTTTCAGTTCTCTAATACCTGTTTATCCTGTTTTTTGTACTAAATGCTCCTGTTACTCACCAGTGTGATTTATATTTTTCGATCTAGAGCCTGACTAGCATATCCACTTCAACTTTCCTTGAGGATAAGGTCCAAGCATAGCATTATAAATCCCACCAGATTAAAATATTTTTGTATTTGCTTCTTGTTAATCTTGAGGTCTTAAAGAAAATTAACTTATTTGAAGATGGTATTTTCCAAAAGCAGGAACACACTGTTAAGCAATAAGCATGACATTACTTCTTCTGAAGAAACTATACAGATTGGAGTTGAATTAAGCATAGTTATATTTCACAGAATGTTTGTGCTAGACATCTTCCCTGAAGAGCTGGAAGAAAGTATGAATATTTGACCAAATACAGTTAGGTTACTGACAAGGCAATAAAATATTTATTTATTATACTAGCTGCTAAATGTGGAAGTCAAGGAGGCCAGAGGCAAAGGAAAGTAAAAATATTTGGAACAATTAAGTAACCATGGGCACAGCAAGTTGTCTACAGTAAATTTTGTTTATAAGATTTAGTAATTTGAAATCGTTAACTCACTTTTTATTCCCACTTGAGAGCAGGGTAATGTTATTTATCTCTTTAAAGGAGAAGTTTAAATAATAAGTAGATACTTTCTCTTTTTCCATTTTTTTAAACAAAATAATTCCACATTTGAAAACTAAGCTGGGTCATTGGTTAACAAAGTCTTTGAAAATGATACATCTCGAATGCAAAAATGTTCTTATTATCATCACGACTATCAAAGGAAAAGAATGATATCCTTGAGAACCTTCAGCTCATATTAATCTCTCTTAGTTCACAGTCTTCTTACTTCAAATTAAAGTTGTATTTTGGGAAACTTTAAACACAAGCATGAGTCTAAACATATTAACTTCTTCGAATGGCGTTTCACTCAACTATAAAATGACAAAGACTAGAAAAGACTGAAACATTCATCTGGTTATTTGCCATGCTAAAATGGAGAACTTTTAGCATAGCCTGGCGTATCTGTTTAGTCTTCACACTATACATGATGGGGTTCATTACAGGAGGTATTAGTAGGTAGGCATTGGCAATCAGAGTATGCACATAGGGTGGGGCCCACTTTCCAAACCTGTGAACAAAGGACAGACTGATCAATGGAATGTAAAATACAGCAACAGCCCCAATATGGGAGATACATGTGCTGAAGGCTTTCTTCCTTTCTTCTGGGAAAGCAATGCTGAGAACAGTCTTAATGATCAAAATATAAGAAACAACAATAAAGATGGAATCCACCCCAGCAGTGGTAATCAGAGCAGTCAGTCCAACTGCACTGTTGATCCTGGTGTCTGTGCACGAGAGCCTCATCACATCAGGGTGGAAGCAGTAGGAGTGGTGGAGCACATGGCTGTGGCAATAGGACAGTCTTGTAAGAAGCACCACCATAGGAGTCAGTGTTAGTGTTCCCCTGGTGATAATTGCTACTCCAATCTGTGCTATTTTAAGATCAGTTAAGACAGAAGAATATCTAAGAGTATTAGTAATGGCCACAAAACGATAGAAAGCCATGGCCAACAGCACTGAGGATTCCATGACAGTAAACAATTGAATAAAGAACATCTGGGACAAGCAGGCATTACAGCTGATTTCCCTCACATTGAACCAGAATATACCCAACATGGTGACCAGAGTGGATATGGACAGGCTGGGGTCAGTGGTGGACAGCACGGAGAGGAAATAGTACATGGGTTCGTGCAGGCTGGGCTGAGTGATGATGATGAAGAGGATCAGGCTGTTTCCTGAGAGGGCAGTTACATAGAGGAAGCAGAAGGGAATGGAGATCCAGGTGTGGAAGGCTTCCAGCCCAGGAACACCAGTGAGCAGGAAAATGATGGAAGTAGAGGTGATATTCTGAAAAACTGACATGCTGAACTCAAAAGGCAGAATCTTAAGCTGAGTGTCTGGCAATGATAAACTGTATTTATTTGTTATGCATTCAACCTGAAATTATTTCACCAAGTAAACATTTATAAAAGATAATGTCTATATTATATAGAAATCTTATAAAGATTGGTTAATGACAACAACAAACTAAGGCCACATCAAACATAGGAGCAGAAAACGGGAAATGAACAGTTTCCTAAGGATACAGAATTTCTACAAAAACAAGGACATCAGCATTCCATCTCATTTAAGTTCACATGTCTGATAAGTGACTTCAAGTGGTAGGTAGTCAGCAAATATTTGTTGAAGTGTGTTCAAAGCATTGTATGATATTTTAGACAATTAGTAAACATATATGCAGTGATTCTGATACAGTAACTGAATTACATTAGCTTTTAGAAGCCTGTTCAAAAAAAAAAAATCTTCTCTTCATCCCCTGCTACTTTCTTTCAATCAAAATCAGATCCAATATCTCCAATCAATAGCCAACGTTTGTTGATCGCCTACTATCTATTAGCAGGGTGATAATACCCTGGATAAGCATACAGTCTATTTGCAAAAGCAAAACTTAAACTGTACCTAAGAAATTTTCATACCACATAACAAGTGTGAGATAGATACAAAAAAAGTATGCTATGTATAAACAGGAATTAAAGGGCCTCCAATATAAAAGTACTATGGATCATTTGATGTTATTAATTTTTATCCTGCAACCCAAGTCAACTTTGTTTACGACTGCATGTTATACATTTTAACTGGGTTAAAATGCTCTGGCATTTACAAGCTGGCTTAGCACATGGTGAATTACTAAACTGTATGTGCCTCACTTTCCCCATCTCTAAAGTAACAATAGTATGCATATCCCATAGGACTGTTGTGAAGATTAAATTAATGTATGTGAAAATGTCAGCAGAGTATCTCACTATGGTAAAAACTTACCAAATGTTACTTATTATCATTAAAGAGAAAAATTAAAGTTAAACAAGTATACACAAATTGTTTTCCTACATCTATCCCCACCCCTATCCTCATTTATCTACTTGTCTCTTTATCTGGTAACTGAGAAAAAAAAATGGGAATATTCTACGTTTAACTTAGGCAATATCCACTTATCCACTGGTTACTACCGCTTTCTCATTTCATCTCTTCGTCCTCTACAGCTATTTTTTCTCATCCTTTCTTCGTCTTTCCAGGTTATAAAAAAGAGCTCTTACTCCTTTCCAGACAACCCCCATTGCCTAGTATTTCAATCTATCTTGGATATTAGTTTAACATCAAACATTACTGAGTGCAAGCTGCAATCCAGACTGAGATATAGAGCCAAGTGAAGTATTGCACCTGCCCTAAGGATCATTAAGAAATAATAAGATACTTCAGAAAACAAATGTGCAAAGAAACAAATAATGAGACTGCATTTAAAATACACACACACACACACACACACACACATATTAGAAAGTTGGAGGGGATGGAGTCAAACGGCTTCTCTAAGTAGAGAATTGTGGAGTAGAGGCTAAGTGAAAATCATCATGAAAAGAAATTCTAAGCATATTCAAAGGCAATGGGGTTTCAGATATTTTACAAATGCCACTAACGTGTGAGATACAAAGCACCGAAAGGTAGTGTTACGGGGTAAGAGAGATCGAGTATAGAATTATCTTCTTCACTTCAAAAGGGCAAGAGATTTGTGCTATTCATACAATCTATAGAAACATGTGATTTCTTCCTCAACCTAAATATAATTAATAACAACAAGAACAATGCTCTTCTTAACCTGCATCCCTGCTGTGTGTATCCCCTTTTCTACGTCAAAAACTACTAAAGTGATTTGTCTATCCTTATTTTCCTCCCTCATGGTTCTTACCTTTATTTACAAAAGAAGGCATACATGAGGCCAACAAACATATGAAAAAATGCTCATCATCACTGGTCATTAGAGAAATGCAAATCAAAACCACAATTAGATACCACCTCACGCCAGTTAGAATGGCGATCATTAAAAAATCTGGAGACAACAGATGCTGGAGAGGATGTGGAGAAATAGGAACACTTTTACACTGTTGGTGGGAGTGTAAATTAGTTCAACATTGTGGAAGACAGTGCGGCGATTCCTCAAGGACCTAGAAATAGAAATTCCATTTGACCCAGCAATCCCATTACTGGGTATATATCCAAAGGATTATAAATCGTTCTACTATAAGGACACATGCACACAAATGTTCATTGCAGCACTGTTTACAATAGCAAAGACCGGGAACCAACCCAAATGCCCATCAACGATAGACCAGATAGGGAAAATGTGGCACATATACACCATGGAATACTATGCAGCCATCAAAAACGATGAGTTTGTGTCCTTTGTAGGGACATGGATGAACCTGGAAACCATCATTCTCAGCAAACTGACACAAGAACAGAAAATCAAACACTGCATGTTCTCACTCATAGGTGGGTGTTGAACAATGAGAACACATGTACACAGGGAGGGGAGCATCACACACTGGGGTCTGTTGGGGGGAAATAGGGGAGGAACAGCGGGGGGTGGGGAGTTGGGGAGAGATAGCATGGGGAGAAATGCCAGATATAGGTGATGGGGAGGAAGGCAGCACATCACACTGCCATGTGTGTACCTATGCAACAATCTTGCATGTTCCTCACATGTACCCTAAAACCTAAAATGCAATTTTAAAAAAAGAAATCTGATTTCTGTTTTTGACCAAAACATACTTCGTTGCATTAGTTGTCTGTGGCAGCATAAGACATTATTAAAAATTCACTGGCTTTAAACAAGACACATATATTACCTCACAGTTCTGTAAGTCAGATGTCTGAGCACAGCAAAACTACCTGCACTACTCAGGATCTCACAAGGTTGAAATTAAAGTTCCAACCAGTATCGTGTTCTTAACTGGAGAGAAGTGTCCTTACAATCCTCACTCAGATTGCTGTGGGAATTTAGTTATTTGTGGTATATGGTTGAGGTCTCCAACTTATTGCTGGGGCTCTTAGCTATAAGGTCTCCAATTTATTTTTGGGGCTCTTAGCTACCCTCAGTCCCAGCCATGTGTTCTCACAACATGACATCTTAGGTCTTCAAGTCCACCAGGAGAACCTCCTTCGAGTTTCTTGTGTCTTTTAAAGACTCCTATGATTAGGTAAGGCCTAGCAGGATAGTCTTCCTTTTGATTAACTCAAAGTCAAGTAACCAGGGACCTTAGTTACATCTGTGAAACCCTTTTGCCATATAATATAATGTAATCATGGGAGTCATATCCCATCACATTCACAGGCCCCACTCACACACCCAAGGGATGGATATTGCTCAGGATAAGTACACCAGGATGGGCAGAAATCTTTAGGGCCCTTTTAGAATTCTACCAACCCCACCACTCAAGGCTATCCAATCACCAGATCTTTATAAGTTCAACTTCTGAAATGTCTCTTGATTGACCATATTTATCTCCCAGTTTCATCAGTGACCGTCCTCCCTACCCTCAGAAACTTTTTATATACCTATCTGGGTTTTTCCTTACTTCAGCAAACTACCAAATATTGCAAGCTCTTTCATAATAATGTGCTTGCTTAATTCATGTAGTTCTCTCTTTTTTAAATAAGACCAAAATTTTTAGATCCACTACTTGATCCGTTGAACCATGTATAAAGTCAACATGAATTTATTTCGGGAAGCATTTGGTGGCAATCAGCTAGTCTAAGTCAAGTCAGAAGAACTTACTTCTTCTCTGGAGTTATATTCTTTTATATTTATGCATCTAGAATAGTGTTTATTCCATTATATGATTAAGGGTTATTTGAAAATATGCATCTGTAACAAAATTAAGTTACTGGAAGGTAGATCATTGTTTTCTCATCATTATATTCCCAGTACCTTGAAATATATTTTGAGAAGTGTGCACGTACAATATATACATGTTAACATAAATTCAATCCAAGAGTTGTTTACTGGCCAAGATTCTGAACATATCTCAGGACCTCAACACTTTCAATTTTGTCTATTTAAAACATACTGTGTTGCCTGAAATTGTGTGTGTGTGTGTATGTGTGTGTGAAAGAGAGAGAGAGACAGAGAGACAGAGACAGAGAGAAAGAGAGAGAGAGAGATTTGGAGTTTTACTGATGGAAGACTCTGTCCTAGTATTGGCGAATTAACTTATATTTGCCCTCCCATTTGTTGAGAGTAATTCTCTTCTTATTATATCAAGATAACACTCCAGACCCACTATAAGAATGTGTTTCAAGTTCTGTGCTGGGCTACCTTGACTTATCTGTCTTCTCTGATTACAGAGTCAGTGATATGGTTATGGGGTCATACAAACCTAGGTTCAAATTTTGTCTCTGCCACCAGCTAGCTGGAGTTCTCCAAATAAGCACTTTACATCAGGTTCCACTAACGTGAAACTGATAGTTCATCAATAGCATTACTTTGTAAGGATTAAATGAGATAACATTGTAAAATATATAATATGCTGACCAGTGCCTGGGATGTGGAAGTCACTTGATAGTGGTAAATGAAGATGAGGATGAGGACAAGAACGGCGGTGGCAGTGTGTGATGGTGGTAGTGGCAGTTGACCTTAGGACCTTCAGTGGCAGTTATAACATATGACACAACTAACCAGAAAACTTAAAATTACATGGACACGTTAACAGCCTGCTCCAAGCAGCAAGATAAATTGCTCATAGACCAATCATACCCCCTCAGTTAAAATAGAATGTCCCTAGAAAATACAGATTTCAGAAAATAGATTTCCACAATTTTCCTTAGGCACCCATGAGAGCTTTCTGCTATTTATAAAGTCTCCCTCATTCTTAAAAGAAACCAGAGCATGTAAAATCTAATGTTTTTCCTGAATGCAGCAGTTTTACTTACAAAGTATAAGGATGTGTTCTTTCCTGCACTGTTTTCCAGAAAGGGGCCTGAGGAGCTGGGGATGTGTTCTACCCAGAAATAGGTAGCATATATAA